AAAAAAAATGGCTGACTTACTGTTTCACAAAAACGCGAAAGAAAGTTCCAACATCGAGAAATTGGTCTCGACCAACTAACAGACGAAGAATTTCCCAGCAGATATAGGTATGACCAAGTATATCTAGTAGGAATCCTAAAAGACGATCTCCAAAGGCAGACGACAAGAAACCGTGCGATGTTCCCTATTTTTCGCTCCAATTTTCGCGCCATATCTTTTTTAGAAGCAGCCAAGCAGGCGGTCGAAAAACTCGTTAAACCAGATTTTTTAGTACTAATCTGGGATAATTTCGCTGTCAGGAACAACTTTTTAACCCACAATTAGTTATCCGGGGAATAACAAATTTAATCGTGGATTAACTGTTAATCGTAGGATAGATTAATCGGCTTTTCAGGAACCGGGGCCAGGAATAGATACTTGTTAAAAACTAACTAAAATAGGACCGTTGGCAATGTTCTCCTCTGTTGTCGTCTTTATCAGTTGATATCGGTCTGCCGCTTTTCCGACTCTTTTTTCCAATGCCAACTCACATTACAATGCAATAGTGTACTTTCAATTAAACCAAAACTTGTCAAGTCAAGCACGCAATACGCTGACAATAATACGATAATACAATACGCCAAGCCAAGGTTTTCCCAATATTAAATGCATCAGTCTTCATCTCCTCCAGCTTTTAAACCATCCGTGATCGTTGATAGCCTGCAATCACTTCTGTGCTGTTTTTGTACAATATCAAACTAATACTTTGAGGTTCCCATCAATACAAAGATAATTATTTACATTAAGGTAAAAGAGGGCTCCCTTAACAAGGAACAAACCCTTGGTTGCCAACTCCCACTTTAGGGTGTCTTTGGGCATGCGGAACGTGTAGCGTGTGTCTTGCTAAGTATTAAATAATGTCAATAAATATTTTCAGTTATGATTCTTAGGTGTGTGTATTCATGGTGATTTTATTTATATAATAAACCAGAAGAGTCGTAATAGGAAAGCGAATTCAGATATAAAAGTA